TATATATAATATATATATATATATATAGATGACTCTAATATCAGGAATATTTGGATCCTAATCCCAGTACTCAATATTTGATGATTCTGAGGTTTTGGGATTTGGATTGGATTTCTGATAATCTGGTCCCTAGATGCTACAGAAGGAGCAAAAAACAGTGAGTTCTGACATATACAAAATGCTGTATAAATCAGAAGTAAGACACGCAGACATAGGAGCATCGGCACATGTCAATTCAACAATGATAAGAAGGAATCAAAACACAAAACAACAGACATGCAGACAAGTAAAAATATACCACTACAAAACCAATAGGTGTACAACAAAGACAAGGAAACATGGCTGAAGAAATGATCAGACAAGGCAAATAGAAAGTTAATCAAGCATATCTAAATCCATACATGGCCAAAACACACAAAAGCATATACTACTTCTTAACTTCATACATGGTTAAAACACACACAAGAATAAACTACAAAAAATAATAAACGACTGATGTCTAAACTTCTTAGATAGCAAAAATAGGCAAAGTAATAAATCAGATGTGAGTGAAATATGCAACTAAATACAAACATGAGATCGGACACACGCAAACGGAAGTATAAAACCCTAAAACTCGCAACTGGCATGTACAAAGCACGTACATATTCAGCGTGACAAAAACAAAGAAGGACGCAAACAAGTATATAAATACAAGTACGTGAAGGCGCACATGTCATGAGTAAAAAAGTATTGTAGAAATTTACAAGCTTTTAGCTGGAAGATGCACAAGCAAGAGGTGACACACACCGTTATGTAAACTTGCACGTTCAAAGCACAAACATCTTCAACAAAACAAAAACGCAGAGTGACACAAACAGGTATACAAACACAATTACTGCTTCATGTCATTAGCAAAGAAGCATTCTATAAATATACACACATTTAGCTAGAGAAAATAAGGCATATCATCTGCTATACTTCAAACGCAAAATATGACACATATAGTGAAGCAAACAAAACGAAAACTTCATAGCACACTTCACATTGAAGCCTAATACAAATGAGACAAGCAATCACAAAACAATGACACAAGAATACAAGAAGTAAATCGGAACAATCCATTCCACACGATAGATACATAGCAGGTAAAAACAACTAAACAATTCACAAAGACAAACGAGACACACCGCACGCGATTTAGAAATACGCGCGAACACACAAGACATCGGTGTACACACAAACTTCGTACACGCACTGTTCCATATACGAGGTCAGTACGATTACAAACATAAAGGTCCAGTACTCAGAAATCAGAATTAATAAAAAAATTCTGTCATCAGAAGAAATTAGAACCTTCCCAATACCCAGAATTTTACACAGTTTCTAGATGTTCGGAACTCGAACACGAGACAAAAATTAAAATCAAACCAATAAACATCAATCCAAATTTGACAGAACGATAAAGAAGGTTCACACCAAAAACTTAATTTACAACGAATAATCCAACATAAACCAAAGTTTATCACCTCAAACTAAAAATCCTCCAAATAAGCCCAGGTACCTCGGAGACGGACAGTTCAAGCCAATGAGCTGCACTCAACACCGTCACCGAACACCACGCAGGAGACACACATCGATGTAATCAATCGAATTTGACTCAAAATGTGTATCAGTAAAGAACTGAACCAATTAATGTTGACAAATAACAAATGAATTCTAGAAACACAATAAATTTTCAACACACAGAACAGTCAATGACTTCTGCGCCTTACCAAAGGACAAGAGCAGCACGAATGAGTCTACGCACACAAGTGAGCTCAAGTCGCACACACACAAAATGAAGTGCAAGTCGTACAATCAGAAATCGGCCGGAACAACCACACACGATACCAGTATCACAGACACACACAAACGACTACACTCCGAACAATGGAGCGGCGATGCAGCTGGATGACCAGTCCACACCAGGAAGAGCACCACTAGACCTAGTATTGAGTAAGTTCAAAGTGTCCATTGACAAGAACATATACGAGGGCAACGCATAGATCATTGGTGTATTAGTGGACAGACTGTACGCACAGAAGACGGACAAACGCATTGACATTATTGATCAAACTTACAAATAAAGTTCACAACCATCAACCTAACAGATTGATATCAGAAGTAGATTAATTGTTGTCAGAGTTATACAATAAAGCTACGTAGAAGTGTGATAAAAGTGATCACGATGAGTGTATTGGGATCAGTGGCTATATGAGCGAGTTAACACTAACTAGATCTCATGAAGGGGATAAAATCTCAGACCCAGAGTCAACAGGCTTGATGGGCGGAAGCTAACATTGTAAGCATGGTAGACATTGTGAATCTACACACTGATGAAGAAACGTTGTTAATAAATGCAAATGAAATTGCTTACACAGCCTATTCTTTAGTTCCCAATCCACGAGACAAAAAATTGCACATAAACGTACAAATCAATGACACGACACACAACGCACTGGTAGATTCAGGAGCACAACTCTCATGCAAGGATCGCAGTGTTGTGACTGAAATATACTTGTCAGTCAACCGGCTATATACAGCTAGCACAATCTGATGCACGAGTACAGCGTTCAGGCTCAACAGAAGTATGTGATGTAAACTACGGCGGTAGAAAAATGTCAAAATGTTTTGAGGTACTCGACCTCCCCAACAAGAAGTCACCAATACTTTTAGGTATGGATACGTTGTTTGAGCATATATTTAGCAGGGATAAATAGTACATTTATACCAACGAATGCAAAATGGGAATCACTTCTTACATCCGAAAATGGTTATCGGACTTATTCGACCAAAATGGCATGATCTCACCTGATGTATATTAAAGGTCAGTAGTGGAGATACCAATACAAGAAGTCAAAGTCAAAAACAACAGACATGCTGAATAAACTTTGTTCCAGACCAGTGCATACCATAAACAGATGACAATGTTTAAAAGTGGGTAAAGGATGGGCGCATATACAAGAGAACGACATGTGAACTTGAAACAAAAAGGCCTAATAAAGAAAGTACACACTTGTACAGACTTAAGAGAAACCAACTATCAACATGAACAAGACAAATTCGTAATACCGAAAATAAAAGTACTTCACAACCTACAAGGTGCACAATTTTTTTCTTCCAAATTGGACTTGACAGGAGGATTCCATCATTTTCGTGTACTCGAAAAAAGCCATCACTTCTTCACCTTTTCATGGAGTGGAGCATAAAACTCATTTAAGTCAGCACCATTTGGACTACACTCGCGTCAGCACAATTTCAAAAAGTAATAGCAAACCTTCTCATTGGCATTAAAGGTGTACAAGTATAAGTAGATGACATAGTCGTCGCGAGCCTTACAGAAGAGGAACACAGAAAGACCGTACGAGAAGTCATCCAAAGACGGATTTCTGCCAACTTCAGGCTACAACACAACAAATGTGCGTTTGCAGTCAAAACAGCAACATTCTAGGCGTCAAGCTACAACACAGGGGCTTGAAACAGAGCCAGAGAAACAAAAACGCATGATAGACTGGACTGGACCTTGCCTCGAACCAAAAGAGAGCAGTCGGACTAACAAAGCTACACGCGGGACCACATACCCCACTTTGCGTATATAACGAAACACTTCCGTAATCTTATGGAAGGGAAAATGAACCAGAACATAGCAAATATTTGAACACCTGAACACATTAAGAAATGGGAAGAAGTCAAGACGCTATCGCTTGTTCAGTAACATTAGTTTACCCCGTAAACGGTGTTCCGCTACAAATCATGAATGACGCAAGTGCTTATGGTATAAGAGGCTGCCTATTTCAAATCATTAACGGGTGTTAGACGAGATATACTCTTTTTGTCAGAAGGCTTAAATTCCGAACAACAAAGATATGGGACGAATAAGAAAGAGATACTAGCGCTAGTGTACAGCCTAGAACAGGTTTCGAAGTACATCAAAGGAGGCGACAAAATGCCGTGGACAGATCACAAAGCGCTGTGCCAGATGAATCAGCAACAAACGCTGCATCCCATGTTAGCAAAGTAGATAGCAGAATTATTCTACCACCACTTTACAATCATACATATGCCAGACAAAGACGTCCAACTCGCCGACATGCTTTCACGATTGCATGAAGATACCTTCAACTTCAAAACATCAAATGTATTGAAGGGAGCTAACAAGAACACACAAACAATGGTCAAGAATACACTGACCTTAAAAAAACATGCCCATACCTTTATCTGCCATAGACCGAAAACTACATCCACAATTCCACAAAGAAGCGAAACGAAAGTTTAAGAAATTCACCATCGACTTGTTTGCAGCAGCACACAAGACAGAAAAGCTCTACACCAAAGAACAGAATGCACTACTTCAAAAGTGAGCAGATGATTTAAACGCATGGGCAAATCCTCCATGAAAACTCTTCCTCGACGTTCTTGACAAAGTCATAGAAGAAGCCACTAGCATCACAGCATGGGTAAATCCTCTATGGAAACTCATCCTCGACGTTCTTGAGAAAGTCATAAAAGAAGCCACTAGCATCACAATATTTGTACCCTATTACCGAAATGTAACGTGACTCCCCAAATTCTTGTCACTACTAGAACAAGACCCGATGATAGTCGAAAACACGAACAACAGATTTCTCAAAGGCGGCACAACAGCTTGCGACAAAGCGCCGTGGGGGGTCACACTAGTAGCCTGGATAGGCACAAAGTCACCATACATCAGAAACTAGTACATCCAGCCAAAAAGATCGCGTCGGTACAAATCGAGGACGAGTCGGCATAGCTAAACACAGTCAAGTATGAGGACATGGCTCACCTATTAGCACAATACCACACTGTGGGCCAGTACACGGTTGAAGAAACGGTACATAAGCAAACTTCAATTCCAGTACATTGAAGGCTATGTACCACTACTTAATAACAAAATTCACAACGAGAGCTTCCACCCCTTACAATCGATAAGAGCCACATCTCCAGGCGATAAGATACAAGTGAATATCATCGGTCCCTAAATAGAACCAAATAGAGGTAAAACATACGTCCTAGTTTGGCTCGATGTACACTTATCAATATGCCATACTCAGACCAATGATGAACAAATCAGAGGCCACTGTCTCACGAACACTAGTCCCAATTATATGTGAACATGGCTTTCCACAAGTCATACAAACGGACCAAGGCGCAGAATATGTGGATGACTTTCTCACGAAAAATATCGAGCAAGCCCCGTCACAACATCTAGTGTCCAGACCATATCAACCCAAGGTAATGGGAGCAAATGAGCGATCAACTAGAGACTTCATACACTTGCTGAGGGAATTACAACCTGGCACAATAGTACCATGGGAAACGCGACTGAAGAATTTTGAGAGACTACAGGAGTAGACATATTTCTAAATACGTTGATAACGTTTTATGCCGTCAGCTCAAGAGTAATGGTAGACTTTATGGTTTGGATTGTCCGATGGTGATGCCACCGTCTATCGCAAAAAGAAACCATCACACTCCTTGTTGCTAGCACACGCAAGTTTCTTTTTCGTAAATTGTGTTGCAACTTTCTGCTTGACTTTTTCTTCGGGATTTGCGCCGCATACACAATAACTTCTGGTTGTTTTAAAACCCTAAAACTCTGGTTGTTTAATTTACTGCATCGGATACACTTATACCGAATTGGAGGTATGTGTAAAGTACTAAACGAATTGACTCCAAATAATGAGCTGAATCCTTCACAGTGAAGCAATATACAATGAACTATACTATATCGCGGCTGAGATTTTAACTGAAGCTCTTCGTATGACTGAACACGGACACCAGCCCAATAATTTATATTCTAGTTTATTCCAAGCATAGAATGGGCGGATCATAACGGATATATGTATTGCCATAACATCATGCCTCTAATGTACTGAGCGAATAAGTACTCTACGCTATATAGTCTGTTTTAGCTCTGCGTACTTTCTTTATCGTGCTTTCATTTTAAATGGAGGCGATCAACTTTTTCACTCTCAAAATTTTTGTGTTCACCTTTTTGATATTTTCATTCCTACATTACGTTCTGGCGTCGTATTCACAATTTTGTTCAAACATAAAATTAGCCTGTTACACGCAGCGTAGAACACACATTTTATAGAGCGACAAAACTTCTCGTTTATGAGTCAGATACCAGTTGTGAAAGCATTTGTTCTTTTGTGCGCAATTAGGGTTTTAGGGGTTTGGAGTTTAGGGTATAAAAAAAGCTTGCTGTAAAATTTTATATAAGAATTTAAGAATCATCGTGCAACGAGTGCAGCCGACAGGGTATATGATCGAAAGCTACTTTCCTCGCTTGTAATATAAATGTTTGCACTATTAGGAGCGACAGAAAAATTCTCATTTATATAAGTGGAGTGATGGGGGGTTTCTTTTTGGTTTTCATTGATATCAGAATGAGAGCAGCATCTTTATTTGGAGATAGTCTGGCTAATTCGGAGCTAGCAAGTGGTAATATATCAATGAGAGTTCGAAAATACTTCTGACCCTGATTATCCCTTGTCAGAGAAGAAGTAACGCAGATATTCTCCGAGCGATATACTCATTCACTCTCACCCGTAGAATGATTAAACATGATTTGAGTTGGAACAAAACCCTTCTGAACGAGCAATAATACCTGGAGTGTATCACTCTTTGTGCGTGGAAGGTTTGGTGATATGAGCGGATTTACGAACTGTGTGCATCAAGACAGCCTTTACTTCTTTATCAAATATACGGGTGGAACCTTTTTGGGAAAGAGAAGCTCTATTTCGCTGACATTTTGTAGCACAATTCCAAATAAAATACAAGCAAAAGCCCTTCCGAAATACGAATGTCTTTTATTGCATCTTTTATTGTAAGATTTAGCGACATACACTCTTCGTGCGCACAAGATACTTTTTGACGCGCGGTATAGATATTGATATAACAATGATTGTTTGGGGATTAGCTTTAAACTAAAACATTTGCTGGTCTGCGGTTTATGACACTATGCGTCATAATGTGTTATTGGACAGACATGTGGCCGTTCCGGTGCACCCGCACCTACAAGCGGCGCACTTTTCGGTCGCATTATTGTTTACCGAAGCACAGTAAGTTCTTAATTGCCAGCTACAGAATCTCAACCCTGGGCCAAGAGTACCTCAGCAAAGTCTGAGGGAAAGAAATCAGGGTAAGCTAAATGAATATTAGTATCTGGAGATGAAGTACCCGTTCTGACAACGTCTAAGAAAATTGTACGATGAAATCACCAATTTCACCATGCACCGCATCCAAAACATTTTCATCTCAATATCATACATTTTTACGAGTAAAAGGCTTAAGTGATGAGCGGTACTGCGCCTACCGCTACAACGTACCGTGTAAACTTGCGGACGACTCCAGATTTACTTGCTTTAAAACGTCGACCACTTCTTCCTTCGTTAATTCATCGCCCATGTCTGACAGCATCTTCGAGAGACTTCCGTTTTCAAAGTTGCTGTA